ATTTGTGTCCATCTAGTGTTGACACTTAGCTTTAAATTTAGAAATAATATATTTGTTAAGCATAAATATCAACACTAGTTAATCCTATTGATGACAAAATTGATTTTCTTGCAAGATCGATTTGTGTCCATCTAGTGTTGCTATTAAGCTTTAATTTAGGAATAATGTGTTTGTTAAGCATAAGTACCAACACTAGTTGATCCTATTGATGACAAAATTGATTTTCTTGCAAGATCGATTTGTGTCCATCTAGTGTTGACACTTAGCTTTAAATTTAGAAATAATATATTTGTTAAGCATAAATATCAACACTAGTTGATCCTATTGATGACAAAATTGATTTTCTTGGAAGATCGATTTGTGTCCAGCTAGTGTTGCTATTAAGCTTTAATTTAGGAATAATGTGTTTGTTAAGCATAAGTATCAACACTAGTTGATCCTATAGATGACAAAATTGATTTTCTTGGAAGATCGATTTGTGTCCATCTAGTGTTGACACTTAGCTTTAAAAAGTTGTTAAGTTGTTAAAGTTATAAAGTTGTTAAGTTGTTTAAATAAGTTAAATTAAATAATGTGGTTTTGTTGATGGATTTAGTTGTTGGAATTAAGTCAAAACTAATGTAGTTATAGTTAAAAAGTTGTTAAGTTGTTTAGATAAATTAAAATAAATAATGTGATTTAGTTGGTGGATTTAGTTGTTGTATTAAGTCAAAACTAAACTAGTTAAAGTTGTTATGTTGTTTATATAAGTTAAAATAAATAATGTCGGTTTAGTTAGTGAATTTAGTTGTTGGAATTAAGTCAAAACTAATGTAGTTAAAGTTCAAAAGTTGTTATGTTGTTTAAATAAGTTAAAATAAATAATGTCGGTTTAGTTAGTGAATTTAGTTGTTGGAATTAAGTCAAAACTAATGTAGTTAAAGTTAAAAAGTTAAGTTTGTTTAAATAAGTTAAAACAAATATTGTGGTTTAGTTGGTGGATTTAGTTGTTCGAATTAAGTCAAAACTAAACTAGTTAAAGTTGTTAAGTTGTTTAAATAAGTTAAAATAAATATGTCAAAACTAGTTAGACTTAGAAAGTGGTTAAGTTGTTTAAATAAATTCAAATGTTATTTAGTTGATGGAACTAAAATTATCATTATTGTTTGTGTAAATGAATCCTGATCGTAGTTGGATGTATAATAGAAACAATCCTGGTCGAGCGGGTATGATTCCAGAATTTGCAGAAGGTGTCACTAGATTTATAAATCATGCAATGACACTTGATGATTTTTTTTAATTCAAGATTGATTAGGTGTCCGTGTGTTAATTGTGAAAATGTGAGATATCATACAACAGAGACTGTTGCTATGTATCTTGTGATGAATGGATTCAAACCAGGGTATACAGTTTGGACTAGCCATGGTGAGGTTGAAAGTGACACTATGTTTAATAACTTTGTTGTCGGTGAAAGTAGTAGATCTACCGAGCATAATTATTTCCAATGTTCTAGAATGTCAGATATGATTAATGATGCTTTTGGGATGCATTCTGATTTTGAACAAGGAGAAAATGTAGAAGAAACTCCTAATGAAGAAGCAAACATCTTTTATGAACAATTGCATGATTGTAGTAGTCCTTTGTTCAACGGGAGTCAACACTCTAAATTGTCTGTTGCAGTTAGATTGTTAAGTATCAAATCTGACAATAATATTTCTCAAGGAGCAATGGACTCTATGATAGAACTTATGAAGGAATTAGTTGATCCCAATGTAGAGATTCCTGATTCTTATTATAAAGCAAATGCATTGGTGTCTAAGTTAGGACTCTCCTCGATAAGAATTGATTGTTGTGAAAAAGGTTGCATGTTATACTATAAGGAGGATGTCAATCTAGAGTCTTGTAAGTTTTGTAGTCACCCTCGCTATAAGATTGGTTCTACCGGAAAGAAACTTGCTATTAAGGCGATGCATTATTTACCTCTTATACCAAGATTGAAAAGGTTGTATGCATCAAATAGCTCTGCTCCTCATATGAGATGGCACCGTGAAAATAGAAGGCCACCTGGTGTCATGTGCCATCCATCTGACGGAGAGGCTTGGAAACATTTTGATAGAACTTATCCAGATTTTGCTGCTGAACCAAGGAATGTTAGGCTGGGTTTGTGTGCGGATGGTTTCACCCCCTTTTCAGTTGGGGCTACACCATATTCTTGTTGGCCTGTGTTTATTACACCGTATAATCTTCCACCTGAGATGTGTATGACAAGCCCGTATATATTTCTGAATTGTGTCATTCCTGGTCCGAGTAATCCAAAAAGCAAGATTGATGTGTACTTACAACCTTTGATTGATGGAAATTGTTGTGGTCTGAGGGGTAAAAACATGGGACATTTCTCGTAAACAAAATTTCAACATGTGTGCTACTTTAATGTGGACTATTAATGATTTTCCTGCCTATGGAATGCTATCTGGATGGATGACAGCTGGAAAGTTAGCATGTCCCTACTGTATGGAAGATACTAAATCATTCACAGTAAAACATGGCCGAAAGAATTCATGGTTTGATTGTCATCGTCGGTTCTTGCCACCTGATCATGAGTTTAGGAGAAAGAAATATGCATTTAAAAAGAATAAAACTGAACGAGATGGTCCACCCCCAATGTTAACGGGTGATGATATTTGGGAAAGAGTTCAAAATTTTCCAAAGGTAACTGAGGAACCACTGTACAAATTTGATGGGTATGGTGTTGCACATAATTGGACTAAACAGAGTATATTCTGGGAGTTACCTTATTGGAAGGATAATTTGCTTAGACATAATCTCGATGTCATGCATATTGAAAAGAATTATTTTGATAATCTGTTCAACACTGTAATGGATGTAACTGGCAAGACAAAAGATAATGTTAAGGCTAGACTTGACTTACCAGAACATTGTAGACGACCGGAGTTGCATTTACAGGAGTCTGCCAACAACAAGTTACTTAAGCCCAAGGCTAGTTATTCATTCACAATGGAACAAAAGAGAAAAATTTGTGAGTGGGTGGAAAGCTTGAAAATACCAGATGGATATGCCTCAAATTTGGGAAAGAGGGTTGACATTGAGCATGGAATATTGCATGGGATGAAAAGTCACGACTGTCATGTTTTTATGGAACAATTACTTCCGATTGCTTTTTGTGGATTGCCTGAAAACATATGGAAACCGATGGCAGAAATCAGTTTGTTCTTCAAAGACTTGTGTTCCAGCACATTGAGAGTAGAGAATCTGGTTCGGATGGCCAAAAATATAGTTGTTATTAGTAATAAGTTGGAGAAGATTCTTCCACCTGGGTTCTTTGATGTGATGGAACATCTTCCTATTCACCTTGTTCATGAAGCTCTACTGGGAGGTCCAGTTCAATATAGGTGGATGTATCCTTTTGAGCAGTAAGTAACTATAACACATTTATTCTTATTTCATAAATCGTTAATATATCTTTTGAAATTATATATCTAATATAAAATTTTACAGGAGCATTGGCAAGTCTAAAAGGGGTATTAAGAATAAACAGAGGGTGGAGGGCTGTATGGCTCAAGTATATCTAGCTAAAGAAAGATCCCACTTTTGTTCTTACTACTTTGATGATTATGTGTCGTGTTTGAGAAATAGACCTAATCGACATGATGTTACTGGGAATGATCCTGCAGTACAATCATTATCAATCTTCAACCAACCGGGTAAGGGTTCAAAAAAGCGTACATTGCACAAACTTACCGAAAAGGAGAAAAAATCTGCAGAGCTTCATGTCTTGCTGAATTGTCCAGAAGTCCAACCCTTCTTAGAGTAAGAAAATTAAATATGTAAACAACATATATTCAACTCCGATTTTATTAAGGAAACTAACTGTATTTTCAATGTGATTCTACAGTTATTTTGTGAGCCAATATGGTGATGATCAAGTGTTTCCATCATTTATAACGTGGTATACTAATTGGGTAAGTGTTGTAATATATACACCTACTAAGAGATTAGTGTACTCTTCCTTCTACTAACATTGCTTTTAATTTACTAATTATATATAGGTCTACAATTCAGAAAATGCTGCCACATTTGATCAATTTTTCAAGGATATTTCTTGGGGACCGATTACAGTTCACACAATGTCCCAATATAACGTAAATGGTTTTAAATTTGCCACAGAGAAATACTCAAAGAATAAGAAAACTAATAATAGTGGTGTTTGGGTTAAAGGTGATAATGGAAATCAAAATGAGAATGTTGATTATTTTGGCGACCTACAGGAGATTGTAGAGTTGGAGTATTCGGGTTGGCCAATCAAAAGAATAGTACTTTTCCAATGCAAGTGGTTTGATCCAACTTCAAGAGGTACGAGGGAGCTTAAGCAACATAATATCATTGAAGTCAAGCACACTAGGAAGTATGAGGCTTATGATCCTTTTATTATTGCACAAAATGCTAAACAAGTGTACTATGCTCCTTATCCGTTGCGTAGGGATAAGTTTGATTGGTGGGTTGTAATCAAAACAAAACCGATGGGGCGAGTGGAAGTTGAGAATGAATTGGATGTTGCATATCAAAATGAAATATCAAGTGTTCATCAAGTAGTGGATGCTGAGTTAGAAATGAATTTGGAGCATCCTGATCACATTTTAGAAGAAGTTAATAGAGAAGAGTTAGATATGCCAACAAATATGGATGAGGATGAGGAGGAAACTTTCGAAGAGGATGAATGGATAGATGAGGAGGAAACTTCCGAAGATAATGCATGTGAATGGATAGATGATAAAGAAACTTCTGAAGAGGATGAATAACAATTTGTATGTTTAGTTGGTGGATTTTTAGCTATTCATATTTGAGTATACTTTATATTTTAGTAGTTTTAACGTTTGTTTGACATTGTGAAAGACTATTTGGATTAAGCCTTATGTTATGATAACTTTGTTTGATATATTTGTTCGACATTGTGACATTATTTTGTACTACTTTGTTTTAATCTTTATATTTATTTGATATAGATGGTAGATAAAGACAAGGGTAGATCAAAAAAATCCGATAATCCGAAAAAGAAATTTAAGGCCAATGCTATGAGAAGGCCCACTGGGGTCGTGATATCTGATGAGCCCTCTCGAGTTAATATTTCAAAAAGAGCCTCAGTTTCAACTACTCACTCGACACACCAGTCACATAATGCCTCTATTCATGTGGCTCCACAATCTGATTATACTATATCTACACCCACTGTGGTACCTAGTTCGGGTTACCAAACATTGCAGGGCTATTCACATCTTGGTCGTGGGTCTAACATACCATCAGCTAGTGCTAGTCAGTGCAATAATTTGAATACTATTAGTGGATCAATTGGACTTTCCAATCTTCATATTGAATCCAATGGCTCAGAGCCTAATACTCCTACCACCCAGCACTCAGATGCACATGGTCCTCAGCCAGGCGATAGAGACAATTTTCGGAGACTCGTCATCGAGCCATTAGGATACAAGTATGATTTAATTATGTTTCATCTTTCATTTATCAATTTCTATTTTAATTGATTGATTATTTTTTGTTTACTCTACTTCGTCAATGAATTCGTATTTCAGCTTACGTCCGGATGTGGGTATGGCAAAGATTATTTTAAAGTGCATCGGAACTCACTATAATGGTGTGTATCCGAATTGGAGTTCGATTCCACTTAACAACCAAGGGCAGATGTTCAATGAATTTAAGGTAAGAATATATATAAATTAAATTCATATCATATACATTTAAATTCTCTAGTCATTTGAACAATAAATATTTAGTAATTTTTTATTACAGAAATATTATGTATGGGCTCCCGAACACGAGGATGACGTTCAAGTGAACTTCAAGCTTAAAGCTTCAAAGTTGCTTTCTAGCACATTTTGTGATTGTCGAAAAAAAATAGAATGCCTAAGTTTATGTTTTCGGAGCGATGGGCTTTGTTACTGAAACATTGGAGTACTGATGAAAAATTTAAAAAGAGGAGTGAGATTGGGAAGATGGCTCGCGCATCAGAAAAGGGAGGCTCTTTGCACACTGGTGGAGCTATTAGCCAGGTTACTAGGAAGGAAAGAATGGTATACTTTCTTAATTTAGTAAATAATTTTTTTCTTTTTTGATAAGTACTTTTTGGAGATTAATGAGATCAAATTCTATATATGTTATTTGCAGGAAAAAGAGTTGGGTAGGCCGGTAGCTGTACCAGAGATGTTCGAGGTTACTCACGTCAAGAAGAGTACGAACCCCACAGAAGAAGAAAGATGGATTGAGCCACGTGCTCAAGAGACATATGTAAGAATTCCATTCAAACTAATTTTTTTTTTCTTTTCCTTGTATATATTACATTCTTATTCGTAGAGTTCTTTGTTTAAATTACAGGATAGGTATATATGAATATCTCAGGAATATTGTAGTACTCTACCTCTTGAGAGTCAGGACAGACCATTTACACAAGAAGAAAACGAGAATCTTTGGAAACAGAGTGCTGGTGAACCGATTAGAGGTTCAGTCTACGGCTATCCAGAAAAGGCGTATCAGAAGAAGAAGTCTTGGTATTGTGGTTCATCATCCTCAAGCTTTGATGGTGGGGATAGAGAGACAATATTTGCAATGGAGAGTAAGATAACTTATCTCAATGCCGAGCTTGCTGCTGTAGCCGAAAGAGAGAAGAAAAGAGAAGAAAGAGCGAAGAAGAGAGAGGAGGAGATTGCAGCAACAAAGGAGGTAGAGAACAAGAGGTATGCAGCGCTTCAGGCCCAACTAACTTTTCTTTTTGAATCAGGAAATATTCTTCCTCCATGTCCGGCTAGCAGTGATGGATCTGATCAGGAGGGTGATGAGAATGATAAGGAGAGTGAGGGTGATGAAGAGTAGTTGTATCTATTTGACATTTTAGACTTCTATATTTTTAGAATTGTTTAATTTGATCGTATTTTAGTTTATTTTGAAGTTGGATGAAGTTTATTTTGAAATAATTTGTATATGTTGAAAATATTGTGTTGTTTTGGTTGGATGAAGTTTATTTGGCTTTGGGTTGTTTTGGTATAAATATGCAGGCGGGCAACTAAAAATTGCAGCAATTTGCTGCCTGTTTTGCAGCAAAAAACCGACCTCCGGAGGTCGAAATTTCAACATTACAAAAATAAAAATACCGACCTTCGGAGGTCGGAATTTCAACATAACAAAAATAAAAATATCGACCTCCAAAGGTCAGAATTTCAACATTACAAAAATAAAAATACCGACCTCCGGAGGTCGGAATTTCAACATTACAAAAATAAAAATACCGACCTCCGAAGGTCGGAATTTCAAAAATACAAAAATAAAAATACCGACCTCCGGAGGTCGGAATTTCAACATTACAAAAATAAAAATACCGACCTCCGGAGGTCGGAATTTCAACATTACAAAAATAAAAATACCGACCTCCGGAGGTCGGAATTTCAACATTACAAAAATAAAAATACCGACCTCCGGAGGTCAGAATTTCAACATTACAAAAATAAAAATACCGACCTCCAGAGGTCGGAATTAAAAAAAATGAATATTTCGACATAAAATAAAAACCGACCTCCAGAGGTCGGTATTGAATAGCGACCAAACTTTTTCCGACCTAAGCTGGGATGTCGGTTTTAGGTCGCTATTTCAAGGAATACCGACCTCCGGAGGTCGGTATTTATAGGTCGGTATTCACAGTTTTTTTAGTAGTGAGTTGAAAATTATGTGTGGGGTGAATTATCTAGATCCTCGTTAAAAAATAAAAATAAAATATGAACTTGAAGTTCACGAGATAATTCATTTGCAAAATGTTGCAAATAATTTGCTAGATATATTTGCTGACCCAATATTTTAATTAAGTTGCAAATGCTCTAATACATAGTCCTTAAAGGATAGAGTCTATGGTACGCCAGAAGCGTGATAGACCAATCGATTCCAAACGTAAAACTCTTTGAGGAAGGAGAGGAGCAAATTATCAAAATGGTCATGATAATGAGGTAAGTGCTTTGAAAGAGCACTATGACATAACACTTCATAAAACCTTGGCAAATGTTGAGGTACCTGAAAACGATGATAAATGAAGAGATCTCGATAAGTTATTTCGTATTGGAATAGATATCAAAATGACCGTCGATGGTATCTTTATTATGAAGTAGCATTCAATGCTATAAATGGTTACGAGGATCTTAAATTTGAATCTATCATATAGTGTTGACAGATAAATGATTGGCACTATTCAAGTATATTTTGTTTCACTTAGAAAAGTGATATTTTTGATCATATAGTTCATGGATCAAAATATAATGTCAGTGTAGTACAAATGAATCATTGTGCGAAAGTATAACCGTAAGAAATAAAGTGCGGTTTGTGCCTCGGGGCATAAAGGGTTTCGCAAAAATCCTGACATTATTAAATGTAGATATATTCTTCAATGGTGGATGCAATGAGACTTGTTTCAGTCTAGAAATAGATGAAATACTTGAATATGCATAATGAATGATTATTATGTCTAACTAGACAATGAAGTTATATGAAAATACTTGAAGGATTTAAAATGCCTTAAAGCAATTCCATTGAGTACCCAATGGTTTTGAGATTGCTTAACACAAAGAAAGAATCTTTTTGATCTCATGAAAATGATTTAAAATGTCATGTATTAGTGCAATTGGTGCACTTACAGATTGATGGTTATACAAATGCTAGAAGATTATTTGATATAAATATAAAAAGTTATGTGAGGGGATTGCCATATTATCAGTCAAGTTATGCCAAGAAACTAACAAAGAAAGTGACTCAACACATAGAAGATGTGTGATTTTCTTTGAGAAGAAAAGACGAGCAACGTATAAAATTGAAATGATCAATCTCTGAGTTAGAAATGATTTGATTATGTAGATGCAGAATATTTATTTGATCTGCATAAAGCTCGATCGCAAATGAGCTATTTGTTTACATATGGAGGCACAACAATATCTTGGCATTCAAAGAAACAAACATTGGTAACCACTTCTTCAAATCATACAGAAATAATATTGATCTATGAAGTAAGTCGGGAGTGTGTATGGTTGGAATCATGATCTATCATATTCAAAAAATATGTGATTTTCCTTTGGCGAAAGATATTCTAACCACCATATACGAAAATAATATATAGCTCAATTGAAGGGAGGATACAATCAAAGGAGGTCAGACAAAACATATTTCACCAAAAGTATTTTTCACACATGATCTTCAACAAAATGGTGAGATAGACGTTCAAAGACCTATTCAAGTGATATCTTATAAACTTATTCACTAAGGATTGCCAACATCAATATTTGAGAAGTTGTGATATAAGATTGGAATGCATCGTCTCCGAGATATCAAGTAAAGTTTTTATCAGGGGGAGAAAAATACGTGTTGTACTCTTTTCCTTAACCGTGGTTTTATCCCAATTGGGTTTTCCTGGTAAGGTTTTTAACGAGGCAACATTCAAAGCGTATTAAAAAATATGTGTACTCTTTTTCCTTCACTAGGATTTTTTCCCACGGGGTTTTTTCCTAGTAAGGTTTTAACGAGGTATATTATCTATGGACATCCAAGGGGGAGTGTTATAAAATAATATATTGTGGATGTCCACTACATCAAGAAGTTACTCCATACTTTCCTCCATTATGAAGGTAACCATTACCTCCATAACCTCCACCTTTATAACCATTATTCTTGTAACCTTTCACTTCCATAACCTCCCCATTATATTCATATTAATGTCATGTTTATGACTAACCTTTTGTATGCCTCTATGTTACACTATAAATAGAGGCATAAGGGTTCATATTGTAGAGACTTGAAGATTTGGTGTACACTTGAAAGAAAGAAAGTTATCTCATATTGTTCCTCTTGTCTTATATTCTTCTTGTCTTTATCTTTATATTGTTCTTTTGTTCTTAAGTTTTACAACATATATGGATTAATAACGTCTCTTTGATTTATGTTTTAAATTTGAACATAAAAAAAATAATTCAAATAAAGTTTTTCACCAAAAATATTTAAAATCTCTTATCTATTTAAATATTTTGTACGCAAAATGAACGTTACTATTATTCTTTTTCGTAATTTGATATCCAAAAATAGTTTTTGTAAAAATTGGTCAAACGTAATTTGTTTAAAAAAAAATACTTTTCTAATGGACTAGCCAAAGACAAATTGTTTTTCTTCAAATGTACTTACCCAAAAAACTATTTTGACAAAATTGTTTCTCAAAATAAATAAGTTTAGAAACTTGGTGGGTTGGTTTCTAAGATGGTCACTCAACTAATAGTTATTATATTTGAGAGTAATATTTTTTCTTGATTCTAATTTTTTACCAAAGAAAGTGACTTTATGAGCTAGTGATAATTATTAATTAAGCGACCATATAAGAAATGAAGTTGAAACTTGGTCAAAAAAGGACTCTTTAATCTTTTACTCCCCACGCTTAAAAAAATGACCTACTTTTTTTTAGTCTATTTAAAAAAGAATGGCCCCTTTCCTTTGTCGTCAACACTTAAATTTCAGCTTTCCATGTGACATGTTTAAGACCACGAGATTAAAAGACATTTTGATGCATTTTACATAACTTTAATTTAGGGCTATAAGATTAAAAATCCTTCTTCATTTTCTTAAAATCCGTTTCAAATTAAATTAGGGCATTCGTTTCAAAACAAAGGTAAGAATAAAATTCCATCATCATGTAGTGTTTATTTTATTTAAGAGAAATCCTAAATTTAACAAAAGAAAATAGGTAAGAGTAAACATTTTAGGGTTTGCTTTAATAGATCATAGGAACATTAATTAGCTAGGGTTAGAGAATCATAAAAGTAGTATTTTGAGTGAAGTGATGATGAGGTCCCAATCAGAAGAAACATAAATTAGGTTGTCTTGACTTTTTGTGAACACAAGTGAAAAGTACATGAACCTGTCTCAATGTGATGGATGTTTGATTAAAAAAAAGTACATGTAGCTGTTCAATTACTGTCCAAACATAAAGCTCACGGGGTTAACCAATGCCAGCCCTAGCTTCTATAATTTACTATGCTATATTTGGAGTCTCTTTCATATATACCTAATGAATCTACTCTTCTATTTGTCCATAAGTGTGTGCCTTTGTTAATATACATAGATCCAATAATTATTTCTATCACTTTCATTCGTAATAAGGGTATAAAAGTTTGAAATGATCATCAGTACAATTACGTTTAGTATATATCAATTCTTCAAGGATAAAAACTAAAAAGGGATAAGTACTACAATATATACTCAATGAATTAGGATTGAGTGTGTCTAATACTATGTTAGAAGTCTTTTAGTCTACTTGTGATTGATTTAAGTGCAAGGTAAACTATTATATATTAAGGGTCAAATATTGTTACTTCTTCCGTCCCAAGTTAAGTGTTGTACTTTCTTTTTTGGTCTGTCTTAAAAAGAGTGTCAATTTCATGTCCAGTCCAACGAAGACATTTAAATTAGGATGGAGGGAGTATTATTCTTGTTGTGTGATCTTCAATTAATAAGATTTACTTATAAAGTGGACTAGTAACTTAATTGTAGGGAATCTTTAGTAACTCATTTGGTTGACTATCTCTGAATATTGATCGATCACCTTGTCGGTGAGGGTTCAATTCAGACGCGGTTCTAATAATTTGCTTGTGATTGGGGTAGAGTTGTCTCTCCAAGTGATTTTAAAAGCCCCCTCTTGCTTTCTTTAGAACACATTCTAAGTTTGGCAATCTAGCCCCAAAAGGAAAAGAAAAAGGAAAAAGCTCCATCAAGATCCTTCCTTTGTTTGTAAAAGCCAAAATACTCTAATGCATGGAGCTTTTGTGGAATTGAAGTGGTAATTAATTTCCTTTGACCAAAATGTTCTCAGCCAGTAATAGTAGTACTCATGATAACTCTCTTCCTCAATACATTTCCTCATCCTTTCACACCTCTTCTCCCTTTGTTGGTCTCAATGGCAACCAAATTCTCCTTCATCAATATTACCAAAATCAATTTTCTAGTCATTACCTGGCAAAGAACAATTGTGATGATTCCTTGAGGTCATTTCCCATGAAGAAGAAACCGAAGAAAAGGGAGAGGTCATGTAGTAAGATTTTGACGGCTCAAGGTCCAAGAGATCGAAGGATAAGACTCTCCATTGCCATGGCTCGAAAGTTCTTTGATCTTCAAGAACTTCTAGGTTTTGACAAACCAAGCAAAACCATTGATTGGCTATTTACACACTCCCAAGTAGCCCTTGAGGAGCTCACTAATTGGTCAACTCATCAGACTCAAATTTCAGGTTTAATCCTTGCACTCTCTAAGCAAGCTAAGTATCAAAATGAGCCTTGTTAGGTTTTTCTCTAAGGAACTCATTCTGTCTTGAACTAAAACTTGAAATAAGGCACATAATTATACGATAGTATTTTCCAAAACCAAGCTCTCTAAGGTAGTATTATAAGATCTGAAGAAATTGCTTGAGAACTAACTACATATATAATTTAATTTTGTTTCCACGTAGCCAACATATTTTTTTTATCTTCCTTTAAGCAATTAGAAACTAAGATGTTTTTTGTGTGGTCCGTTCTACTGACATTATTTCTATTCTATTATATTTATGTAGGAGCAATCAGCAACGAGGGTTTAGAAAGAAATCCCAAAAGAGCAAAAGAAGTAACACTAAAAGAGTTAAGGGCAAAGGCAAGAGCAAGAGCTAGGGAAAGAACAATCAAGAAAATGTGGACCAAAATTGAAACTAGCCACAAATCAGCTAATTTTTTTGGAAAGAAAGATATTAGGGAAATGGAAGAACAATTTTTCAAGAACAAATTACAAGCAAACAAAGAAATAATTGAGGGATCTGGAGTTACAAAAATTAAGATCAAGCCTTCTTTAATCTTGGGTTTTAACCCTAATCTTTATGCTCCAATAGAGTCAAGTACCTACCATGTTGGCTCTTCCTTATCACAAGGTATATACTGCTATCATTTTGAATTTAATTTATATACACCGACACTGTCAACATTTTCTTTCTTATACTACTCATACTGTATCAAAAATTATCTTTACCTGCAATCAATTAACAGCAACAGCTCAATTACCGCTAAATATTTATTTTAGCGGCAATTAGCACTCTTTGTAGATGTCCCTAAAGACTTTAGCGACATTGGATCTAATGACACTTAACTAATGTCGGTAAAGACTTTAGCACTCTTTATTAGTGTGTCGATTTATTGCTGCTAAAAGTTGTTTTTATTGTAGTTTAACATGTAATTGCACAATGTTAATTACCTTTTTAGGTACTAATTAATTATTATCATGGATTTTTTAATAATATTTATTTTATAAATAATTTGATTGTGTAAAAACTGTTTTTTCTTCTCACAGGATTTCATAATTGCTGAAAACCATGGGACTCATTATCAATAGTAGCCAAATCTAATATGGGGACTTCAAAGTAAGCTAATGTTTCTTTTCTTTCTTCCTCCCTTAGATCTAAGATTTTGGAAATATTTTTTCAATGTTTGTTTTGATAAATATATGTATGTCTATAAAATAATCTAGTTTTTGTGAGATTAATTTTCGAATTCAAAAATCTGCTTCAAATCTATTTTTGGGAAAAAATATAACTTTTATTTTCTTTTTAAGTTTCAAAACTTGCTCCAATTTTAACATATTAAAGAAAGTATTATCTATTATTTCAGATTTGTTTTGCTTATTTGTATGAATTTACTTCAAAATTGTTTTGCACTATTTGTATAAGAATTTACAGCTTCATATTTGTTTTGCTTGATTTACATAAAGTTTTCTTCAGATTTTGTAAACCATTACCAATATATTATTAGGTGTTTTATCTCCAAAGTTGAATAATATTTATTTGTAATGTATAATTTTTTTCTTTAGATCTGTAAACCATTTCATCTCCTACATTGAATAATATTTACTAGTAATGTATAATTTTTTCGTCAGATTTGTAAATCCTTGTCAATAAATGAAGTATCTCATCTCCCACTGTTGTAATTATTTATTTATTTTACACGGGTAAATCTTCGTAACTAATCGTAATTTGACGAATTATAATACTCACTATTATTAGCAATTTTATTAAAATATCGTGTAATGATTTTAAGACTATGTTATTTAGTTCATTATAGAAATAATAGTATTGTGTCAAGCTTATCTCTATATAGGATTATGGTTTGTGATAATGATACTCCTTTCGTTTCTTTTTATCGTTATAGTTTTTTTTTTAGAGTCAAATAATATGAATTTTGACTAATATTTTAAGATGTATTTTTTTATCATATTATTATGAAAAAATTGAAATTTATAGTATTTTTCATATAGCTTTTAATATCTAAAATTTTATTTTAAAATATCAAATTAAGGTAAGCTAATTTAGCTTTGAAAATTAATCAAATTAACTCTCTAAAAAGCAACATGACAACTAAAATGAAACGGAGTGGATAATGAACATCATTAATGAAGGTTCTGCCTGATTTGGGATTAACAAGTACTCCCTCCGTCCACTTTTAACTGTCATGGTTTCTTTTTTAGAGTCAAACAATTTAACTAACATTTTACAATGTACTTTTTCATCATTTTGATATGCAAAATATTGCAATTTATAGTACTTTTGGTATAGTTTTGAATATCTAATTTTTTTTATTTAAATTATCGAATTGATGTAATCTAATTTAACTTTAAAAATTAGTCAAATTTACTTTCGAAAAGTACAACAATAAATGAACGAAGGGAGTATGTTAGTTTGGTACAGTTATATATTTTAATAGCTTTCAGAGCTATTGAATATAAATTATGTTTCAAATTTTTTTTAAAAAAAAAGTGAAATATGTTTTTTAAATATTATGGCGAAATACTTTCAAAAATTCAATCCAATTAAGTACAATCTCCATTTTTTTATGATTAGACATATTCTTGCCATATATTTCTTCTGCCTCAATTTACATGAGGTCAGTTTGACTTAATATAAAATTTAAGAAAAAAGAAATAAATTTGAAATACATATTAGACATTTTTATGTCTATTAATCATTTTATTAACAATAAAAATGATGTTATATTTTATAATTAAATTATTTTTAATTACAGAAACTGTAGCATTTAGACTAAAAAAAGAATATCACGTAAATTATGACAGATGAAAGTGTGTGTAACAGTACAATTTGAGCTCATTTGATGTCATTGTTTTTCAGAGGTTTAATTAGGAGGTTTTATGATGATGATGATGATTCATGTGTAAGTAAATTTGCAGTGCTTCTTCCCTATGCTATCAGCTGGAGAAGGAAAGGAAGAAGATGTTGATCAATTACGTAATAAAGCTCAAAACAAGACGCACTACTCTATCTAAACCATGCATAAGTAAGAAGATTTAAAAGAATAAAAAATATACTTTATTCTAAGTTTTTTTAGTATATCAATTATGACATCCATCATCTTCTTCGATCTCCACTTTTTTAGCTGTAGTCTCATCTTTGTTGTGACATCGATATCTCTTTACTTGAAAGGGATAGTTTGGGGGTTTTGAAGAAGTCAAATAAACATGTATTAAGAAATTAATAAGTTAACAAATAGAATTGTTATATATGTCAAAATGGACAAGAAGCATTTCTAAACAAACATTTAATCTAGTCAATATTTAAGTATTTCTCTTTAACCATTCTATGATCGTTCAGATAGGAGACTCACACTTTCAATAGTTCGGATATAAAACTCAATAAATTAAAGTTTATATTTTCAACCTTAACTCTAAATTGAATGATAAATATACTTCTACCGTATATATAGTCAATATCAAAAATAATTTGATACACTTTTATATTTAATATTTCTTTGTTTAATTTATGTGGTACTGTTTAACTTGAATTATTTTAATTAAGAAAATGTGATTAATATTATTTTTTAAAAACAAACTAAGATGTTGTTTGATTACAAATATATTTGGAAAAAAACTTGGAAACTAGTGTTCGGCCATATAATTTGTCATTACTTGAAAAATATATTTAGCAAACATCCCAACTCTCAAGTTTCCAAATTCTAGAAAAAACTAGAATTTGCATCATCAAATTTTAGTATTTGAGAAATTTTTTAAAAATTAAAAGTTACCCTAAACTTTTATATATTATAAAAAAGTATCCATCATCTATTAATCCAAAATAATATTTATTTATAACCAACTTCATTAAAAAGAACTATTTTAGGGGGTTATAATTTATTCTAAATCAATTACACATTATTGTACTGCTTTTGCCCATATTGTTGTTTTTTTTTGTTGTTGATTGTCATCAATTATATTGTACATTTATTATTTAACGAAACGTGTTCATTATAAAATGATAAGAAAAAATTATGGGTAATTTTAATAATTTTTAAAAATTATGGTATGCATCATATTTTTGAAAAAAGTCAAATATTTTTTTCAAAATTTATGATCAAACGTATTGTGAAACTTCACTTAAAAGTTAAAACTCACTCAAATAAGACTTGCCAAAATACTTAAAAATTTGTAGTCATATGCAGGGGCGGAGCCACGTAGGCTCCAGGACACGTAAAATTTTGACTTTATATTGGTATATATAGAATTTGGACCCCCTAAAATAACAAAGTGATGCGCAGTGTAGTTGGCAATAGCATGTGCAATCCTACTCTTTATCCCGGTTCGATTCCCCGCAAGGTTGTTTTCTTTTTCTGTAATTATTTTGACTTCTTGAATTCAATTAAGTAAACAAACATGCGTGATTTTAACATAAAAGCTTAGTAGCTTGGTGGTTAATAGTATCATGAAGGTCTCCCAAGACTCAAGTTCGAATCCCTCCTCTACTAACTATTTTTTTCTAATTAAAATTGAATTATTTTCTTAAATTTAATACTTTTTCTTGTGGATTTTTTTCAATTAAAATTGAATTATTTCCTTAAATTTTAATACCTTTTCCTTGTAGAATAAGATTTTCTTAAATTTAATACTTTTTCTTGTGGATTTTTTTCAATTAAAATTGAATTATTTCCTTAAATTTTAATACCTTTTCCTTGTAGAATAAGATTTCCTTAAATTTAATACTTTTTCTTGTGGATTATTTTTCAATTAAAATTGAATTATTTCCTTAAATTTTAATACCTTTCCCTTGTAGAATAAGATTTTCTTAAATTTAAAATTTTTTCATGTGGATTTTTTTCAATTAAAATTGAATTATTTCCTTAAATTTTAATACCTTTTCCTTGTAGAATAAGATTTCCTTAAATTTAATACTTTTTCTTGTGGAATTTTTTCAATTAAAATTGAATTATTTCCTTAAATTTTAATACGTTTTCCTTATGGAAAAAGATTTCCTTAAATTTAATATTTTTTCATGTGGATTTTTTTCAATTAAAATTGAATTATTTCCTTAAATTTTAATACCTTTTCCTTGTAGAATAAGATTTCCTTAAATTTAATACTTTTTCTTGTGGATTTTTTTCAATTAAAATTGAATTATTTCCTTAAATTTTAATACGTTTTCCTTATGGAAAAGATTTCCTTAAATTTTAATATTTTTTCCTTATGGAACAAGGTTTTCTTTCTCTATAAATAGGAGACTCATTTACCCAAATCATATCACAATATTATTAAGAATAGAATCTCAATAATTCTCTCTGATTTTTCTTCTCGTTCTCTTATTTTATAATAAAAATAACAACTTAATATTTTAGTTTCAAGTTTCAATAGACATGAGGAATTATTATAATAGAGTACCAAAAAAAAGTTCGACTTCTCTAAGACAACCAAATAAAGAAACAACGGTAGATCAATTAGAGATGTTGTCACATTCTTCTAAAAAACAAAGCATTGATTTAAATACTCTAAAAATGACTTGCGAAATTGAATGGATGATGAGTTTTTAGACGGTTGTATAGTGCCTTATGTAGAAAAGAAAGTATTTCGTACTATTTCTAATGTGTCTATTATAAAAACGTT